CTGGGCAGACTGGCAAGATGAATATAAGCTGAAGAACAACATACTACCCATATAGTATAATACAATACAACAGGATATATCACTCACAGAGCTAAAAAATTATATTGCTGTAGCACCTAACAAAAAAGCAACTTGTCTGCAATTAATATCTAACGAGATGCTAAAACATCTTGATGATCACATACTGAAGCACCTTCTGAACATATTTAATGTATGCCTGAAATTAGAAGATATCCCCAGTGCCTGGAAATACAATCTGATATACCCAATATCAAAAAAACTAGTCTTTACAAGTCAACTCAACCATACTCGGCCAATATCCTTGATTGAACATACAAGGAAGATTTTCACCAAAATTATCACAACAAGACTCAGCAAGATATGCTTATCATTTCCAATTCTTAATAGCTCTAACTTTGTTGCACTACCTAGAAACTCTACAACGACTCCAATTTCACTTCTCGCACATCTAATAAAAGATACACAAGTTCACAACAAAGAGCTCTGGGTGCTTGCACAGGATATGAGCAAGGCCTACGACTCAGTTCATATTTTTCTGCTAAAGGAAGCATTACTAAGGATCAGGATACTACTTTCTTTAACCAATCTTATCATTAATATCTTTACCCACTGCTCAAACTCTGTCATTACAAATCTAGGCAATACAGAACCATATCAAGTACACGATAGTATTGATTAGAGAGAAATGATTACTTCTCTTCTTTGGAGAATCTATTATGACCCACTCCTATTAAAAGTAAAATAACTTTACCAAGGCTATACAATGGATCACTCAATTAACTTTATAGCTCCTACACGCACAACTCAAATTCCAGTACTTGCTTACATGGACGATACCTTATGGCTAGCTAATGATAAAGAAGAACTATCGCAGATTCTTGAAACTGCATCTTCCTTCTACAAGCTAACAAATATCAAGGTCAACCCTACCAAATCAATCCTAGCTACTACATCCAAAGCAGAGGCCCCTTATATTACCTTTGAAAATATCTAAATAAACTTGATAAGTACAAAAGAAGCTTTCAAGTTTCTAGGTTGCTGGTTCATACTGGGGAAAAACTAGAAAATTATCCATAATCTAATCATACAAGAAGCAGACGACTCACTTCAGAAGCTAAGAACTGCAAAGATTACAGACAAACAGGCAATATACATAACCAATGCTGTTATTCTTACAAGGCTCTCATACAGAATCCTCAATACATTTCTTAATGCCACAACAATGAAGAAAATTACAAGCAAATATACAAATATTGCTAAACACAAAGCAGGACTAGCCTCGTCTGTTCCAGATTCTATACTTCACTGTTATAGATTATATAGCCTCAGAACAGTAGAAGACCTGCAGGCACAACAAAACATCACACTGCTTCACAACCTGATAAACTCCGATGATAGCTTCAGCACTATCTTCAAAAACAGAATATAGCAACTACAAGATGCAGCAGCTACAAATATCTCAATACTAGCTCAAGTTCCTATCATCTTCGCATCACCAGAAAATAGTACAACTACTGCAAAGAGAATTCACTAGCTACATAATCTAAACTGCTCCTTCACTAATAAACTGTCAAACTGGCCACAGATATTACAGAGAATGGGACATAGTATAAATAACAGCATCAAACTACTCCCCAATCCTGCAATTATCAAAAAATGTCTAAATAAGTTAGGACTTTACTTTGCAGAACAAGTTCTAAATTGGAATAACACATCCTCTTTCCTCTGGTCCTTCCTACCACATACCACCCAAATTATACCAAAAGGGAAAGAGCCTAAATAGTATAAACAACTGGCACAAGCCATAACTACTAAGTACACATGCTACAATGAGAATAGCCTAGCATTTCCCAATCCTTTTATTATCAAGTATACGCTAATAGAAAAAAACAATTGGATACTTCTTCCCATTAACGATATAACAACAATCTGCAAAGTTACTTCAGTTACCAAAAACAATATAGCAAAACTGAGTCATTGAATATGCGAGCCAAATTCAAAAGCTCTAGTATCTTGCAAAAGCTGCTCACTAGCTAACACTAGTATAACATTATCACAAAACTCCTGTAAGTTCGATAAAAAAGCTACACAAGCCATACATCTATAAGTCAGCAAAGTAAAGAAGCTATATTCTAATATAGAAGAAATTACTTTATATCTACAGCATAAGAATATATTAACAGTAGAGGAGCAGTCTAGTAACAAACCTAAAACAGTTATCACATACTGTAACAAAAAATCAAAGGATGATCTAGGCTTAATTAACACGATCATCTCAGAAACCAATATCCAAAACAAATTAGTAGAAATTTACCTACAAACCAGCTATAGCAGGCACATAACTACAAGACTCAATACAAAAACTATAGCAGATACACTCATATCGACAGCCTACTTAGTTGCATACTGGAGTATACCAAATACTAATATCAGTCTCACTATTAAAAATAGTATATGGCCGAGCAGCATCCATGCAATATTGACAGCAGTAATAACAATTATGCTAATACTGCCTAATAGCAGCAAACTAACATTGATTTCATCATCAAAACAACTAAATAACTTCTTCAAGAAACTAGCTATATACGATCATCATATAAGAAACAAACTTATAAAACAAAAAGAAGAGCTCCTCTGGCTAACAATATATACACTTTACTATAAAAAACAACTAGAAGTCATCATAGAGGTCCTGAACTCAGACCCTGAAATTAAAGCAAACCACCCACTGGAAATAACTCTCAACTTCGACAAAACCAGATATGATACTTTTTATCTTCAGTGATATAACAACACAATTATACACAAACCTAGACAGTTCATCAGACATATAAATAATGCTACCCATCTAGCAGAATGGTATTCCCAAAACAGAACCTGCCTATGGGGCCCACATAAAGAAAAAATCGATTGGAAATCAATAGTAGAAAACATTAATTATAACTGTTCACCAACAAGTAGAAGTACAAACCCCAAGTACTCCACTCTCAAGGCATTCAAAATTAAACTTCTTCTCGATGAACTGCCAGTAACAACTAATCTAGAAAAAAGAAATACACAAAAATATAAGTCACCACTCTGCAGAAGATGTAACAACTTACCAGAAGACAATTGGCACTGGATTACCTGTCAGAAAAATATTATCTCTTTAGAACAGATTATAAACAAAAGTATCTACACAGTACTAGGGGAAGATACATGTCCACAAATTACTCAAGAAATCTGAGAATCTATACTTTCAAGTAACCCGTATAATACAGAAAGCACAAGGAATAGCTATATAAAAACTATTTATAGCTTTATTTCTAGAGCTATAACGCAGCTACTAACTCAAACCAACAGTAAACCAAAATCTAGTAAACTATTTCACAAGATCCAAAAAGAACTCTATTACAAAGTCTGGATACACAAATGCTAGGAATGGCACGATCCTAACAGAATACCCTCGAAAATAGAGAATCTACAAGAAAACCAAAACTATAACAAAGCTACAGAAGACTCAAATCATACAATACCAAAATCTCAGCGTACTGAGAATAAAATAATAACCTAGTCAAAAATGTTTATTACCTATAATTCATTACCAGATATGCTTGTATATATAATGGACTAGGTGGGGCTTTGGTCTCCTCTGGTTAAAAGAGCCCAGGCTGAGGGTAAAGTAGCTCTAGTTTCTAGTTTAAAGTAGATAGATAGTATACATCCTTATACGAATTACAATGTAATGAATATTAATATCTGAATAAAAACTGAAGCAAGACTTTCCTCTTCCAAAAAAAAAAAAAAAAAAAAAAAAAAAAAATTTATATAACATTTGTTCAGAACTTTGGCATTGACCTGATTCTAAAGAGAAACTTGATTACTAAATAAAAATTTTAAACAGATTTAAAATGAACTATAAACATGAATTAATTTTTTATTGATATTAAATTATTAAGTATATATAATCTATATACAAACTCAATAATAGTTAACTAACTATCAATTGAAAATTTTTTTGATAATTTGTAATACTAGTGAGGACTTCACTATAATGTGAATGTGTTGTAATTATTTATTTATCATGTTTCTTTGTATTTATATATGAGCTACCTTTATTTTTTGTTAACATATGAATTACAAATGAATGTATACAGTTAACTTTTATATAATAAACTAACAGTTCTTATAATAAATTTTTTTGACTATATTCTAATACTAAGCTCTAATAAATATTTTAAAGAAGTTTTATAGAGCATAGATATATATAAAAAGGTTTATTACAAAAATGACTGTATTAGAGTGTTCAGACTCATGTGATTTAAAAAGCATTTTTATGCGATATATAAAAATTTGAGTATGCGATTTCAGTGCAAATAAAAATTAGAGAGAAATAAGAGTAATAAATCTAATAATAGGAAAAGTTACTATACTACACTATGATTATTTAACTATTACATATTAGATTTAGATCAAAAAAGGCATATATAATGTGTATTAGCTTTTATTATGCTGATATTAGCAATTATTAGTATGAGCATAAATATCACATTAGCTATATCATAAAAGATAATTTTGTTATACATTTTATATGCTTAAAATGTAAAAGTATGAGTCTAGAAACTATAGACTGCATTAGTATATTAAGAGGTTAGATTACAATATGACTACGTTCTCAAATAGTGGTAATGCTAGTTATAAAACCTGAAGTCTAGTTTTTTTATACTACGTTTGTATAAATTTTATATACATTTGCATGCTATACATAATATATTACTTTACACTCAATGTGACCTAACTATCTATACTCACGTATTTGCTAACCTAATATATTATACTCTATTACTTTATTAAACCATACTCATATTACTTATAAAAAATATATCTTTGCTTTATTTAATAAAGAATATAATTGAACTAACAGATATACAATATAATTGTTTCCTGAATAAATTTTAAAATTTTGTTATAATTAAAAAATATTCAATAAATTCAAAATTTCAGCAAGTAATCATTGAATAAGCTTTAATTATATTTAATATAAAAATGTTATTTGAAATTTTACTACAAATATTATGCATTCATTAGAGGAAACATATCATAATGTACACTATTTTTTTTTAAAGATAATATATAATTTACTAGTTCAGAAGATAGACATGTTCATTTAGATGAGATATGATTCAGAGCATCTGAGAATAATCATTCACTTAGCACAGATGTAGCTAAGATTGAAAGATATTTTCAGGCTAATAAAGCCAATAAAGGAAAAATACTTTTTCTACTATTCCACCAAATAAGTAGATCTTCATTAGGTTTAGCTTCAGGATATTTAAGATATTGTGATATTTCATCTTCTTCAAATTCTATTATATCATTATTTGATCCTCCTAAGTTAAAAACTTTAGCAAAAAAATCATTATCTCCTAAAATATCATTTTCACTAGTAGTAGTTATATTTGATACTTGGCTTTGATCTTGTAATTGTAAATTGTCTTTTATATTTTTATATAATTTACGAAGTTTAATTCTTATATTGGTTTATTGAGTATTTGTAATAAATCATAAACTTTTTATCCTAGGATCCAGAATTGATGCAATTAAAGCTATATCATTTGAAACACACTACAATTCATCTAATGATAAGTAGATACAGCTCGAATATTATCCAAAAGATCTGAAGTATCAGTTGGCAGTAAATATTCAATTTCATATATATCATCTGACTCAACAGATTTATTTTGTGATCATTGACTTATATTACTTTTACCTTTACCTTTATTATGACTTTGAATTTTTTTTTGATTTTGACTTCAGCCTTTACTATATCTCTTATATATATTTTGTTTAAATTGATGATGAGCAAATTGCCAATGTTGACATTTACCTGCTGATGATATATTTTTATCTTCATTAACAGAACTTGAATTATCAGTATCAGATAATTTTTCTATATTAGGTTAATTAAGTAAATCTTCTAACTTACTATAAATTAAGGTTAAGTAAGAATCAATCGTTTCATTTTTTTCAGATTATAGTTGAAACTTTTTTTTAAGTATTTTTATACATAGGTGAACTAAATTAAGTGTAGGATATTTTGCACCACATATATAATGAGTTACTATTTCAAAAGGACTTAATAAATTTACTATGTTTTGAATAAAATTTTTTTTATCTATAGTTAAATATAATCTGTCGAGTTTTTCACCCTCTAATTGAGAACTACAATCTTTCTTTAAAAGTAATATTGTAGAAACTAATTTCATTGCTATATGTAATTCTAAAACCCATTTCCAAGCAAGATATGTTGAGTTCCAATGTATCTTAGTTTTACTTAAAATATTTAATAGATCAAATTT